GTCCGGTTGTTTTGGTGCGCACCTGAGTGTGATTGCTGTGTTCACACCTGCCCGAACAAACCGCACTGAGGGGGCAAAGGAACTTGAGTTTGATTGAACCGAACCAAACAGGGCAGGTGTGAAAGCACCCAAAGATGTGAGCATAGTTTGTTTACAGCCTAATGCTAGCTTTTTACTTGTGGCAATTGAATTTAAGCTTCGATAATCCGTAAAAGTGGTGTCATCTTGCCAAACATAACGTGTCATTATTTATCATGCATGTTTGTTTGCCACGGAGCTTATTTACTTCATTAGTCCAAAATCCAATAGAAAAATCTCATCGGCTTTTTGACGAGGGAATCAGGACGATGCTAACTTTCGCATCGGCCTACAAAAAAAACGTTATCCCTTTAGCACTCTATCCATCCATCCATTTTCATCCACTTATCCGGGGTAGGGTCGTGGGGGCAGCAGGCTGAGCAAAGCACCCCAGACGTCCCTCTCCCCAGCAACACTTTCCAGCTCCTCCTGGGGGACCCCAAATCAAATCATATTGCTTATAACTTATGCAGTACAGGTTGGATTTAGCGCCGTGATGCTGTCGGCACAGGTCGCTGATGAAACCAAACTGGTATAAACTCGTACACCGGATCAGACCGGCAAAATAAGACGTCGACCCTACTCTAGCAGATGGCCGAAATTTATTTCCCATCTTCTTCCTGTAGTTGAAGCAGCAGCACAAGGAACACTCTGAGCAGCGACTGGCCATTGAGGAGCTGGAACGCAACATCCGACTGGCTGAAGAAGTCTGTCCAGGCATCACGGACAGGATGGTCACGCACATTATTGCCAGGTACCAGAAGTACGTCTTACTTTTCTGTTTCTTTGTTTCTTTGTGTGCTTTTTTTGCCTGCTCCTTTTGTTACTAATTTCCTTGTAATTCTGGTGTTTTTCTTCCTTTTTATTGTCAAACTTATTCTCGTCACTTTACGATTGATTGGCATTCACGAACATAAACGTGTGCCTACCATCAAATCCGAGTTTTCTGCAGTGTTCATGAATCCAGAGCAGGTTTTGAGTACTGCGTTTTTTTATTTCATGAATGAGACCCAGTGTGTTTAAATGTCTTAAGATTCTTTTTGTGTGTCCATCGGATCATTTGTTTACCAAATGTTTTGCTGTCTCTTTCTCCTTCTCGATCTCGGTCCCCCTCCCTTTAGATTTACGACCAACTGAAGGGCTCGAAAATGGATTGGAAAAGGAAGTACGTTATGGGGGGAGAGACTGTGTCTCCATACGGTGACGCTGCTGGACGATTTGGAAACAGAGGAGATTTGCTGTGCGATGTCTTCTCACTGTACACACACACACATCTCACACACATACACATGCGCACACACACAAACACATACACACACACACTACTAATGTAATATATACACTATATATTATAAATATATATTCACTGCTGTTGGTTGAAGACCTTTTTTCTCCCAAAGTTGGATTTGAAAGACAGCTGCATTTTTTTAAGTCAACTTGTGTGAAGTTTTGAAAAACAAACTAAGATGTCAGTTGGATTTGTGGTTTTCGTTTCCCCTTTTTTAGGGTCTTGAACTTCTCTTTTTGCTCAAACTTAAGTCTTCTTAAGTTATGTTTGAACCTTCTAAATTACCATAATGTGCCTTAATTATTTATGCACTCATTTTCTAAAAGTAGACGTCACTTTTTTAGTGGAGATGTTTTTGTTGAAACTGCACACAGAAAAAAATACATATAGAAGAGGGTTCTTGTCCATCAGCAGTGGTATGTTCTGTGTCATGATAAGTCTTGATTTTGTAGATGTCAATATGTTTGTTCAGTAGCACTTGAGACAGATTATATGCCAATATTACATATTTTTGTTGTCCTCAGAAATGCTTTGAATTACAGTTCCCTGATCCCGGAAATCAGTCAATGTCAGATCTACCCTGTAAAGTCTAACACGTGAAATTTTCAGTTTTCATAGTTTAATGTGGTCGTTGTAGTTCTTAAAGACATGGGAATTATAAATGTTATTAATAATGTTATCCACTACTAGAACAGTTTTAGTTTTGCTGACAGATTCATATGAGAATTATTTTCAACATTGAAGGTGACCGTAGTATTAAACACACTTGAGATTTTTTTTTCCCCAAGTTTCCCCAGTAAAAAAAAAAAAACCCACAACTGTCAAAAACAAACAACAAAAATAATAGGAATCTAGACCATTTGGGGAGCTACCAGACTATCACTCAGCTAGTGGCTTCCCAACAATTAAGCTAGCTAACTAACTGCTGTTGTAACTGTTTCCACAAGAACTAGCTAAATTTAACTATTAAATATGTCTAAAATACTGAAGTGTATTCAACAGTAAAAACAACAATGTTAAGAATCTAGACCCATTTTTTATTTCACTTGTGGGAGACACCAGACTCTAGTCCGGCTATGGAACTAGTTTTCTAACGATTAAGCTAGCTAGCTAGCTAACTGCTGTTGTAACTGTTTTCAAAATAACCAGCTAAATTTAACTATTTAATATGTCTTCAATCTTCCAAGTTTATTAAGCTGTTAAAACAACAAAATTAAGAATTAAGACCCATTTTTATTTCACTTTTGGGAGCTAAGACACTTTAGTCCAGCTTGTTGCTTGTTAACAAGTAAGCTAGCTAGCTAACTGCTGTTGTAACTGTTTTCAAAATATTGTCTAAAATCTGCACGTTTATTCAGCTGTTAAAACATCAAAATTAAGATTTGAGCTCATTTTTTATTTCACTTTTGGGAGCTAAGACACTCTAGTCCAGCTAGTTGCTTGCTAACAAGTAAGCTAGCTAGCTAACTGCTGTTGGAACTGTTTTCAAAATATTGTCTAAAAAAGTTTATTCAGCTATTAAAAAAAACGAAATTAAGAATTGAGACCCATTTTTCCTTCACTTTTGGGAGCTACAAGACCTTAGTCTGGCTAGGCAACTAGTTTTCTAACTGTAGAAGCTGTTTCCGAAGTAACTAGTAAAATTTAACCCTAAAATACATCTAAAAACTTCAAAGTTATGAAAGTCATTTCTACTTAAGGTGAAGTTACAACTTCAATGTTAAAAATGGTTGCCATTAAAATAAAATCAGTGTCGTTTTGTGTTTGGTGGCACAACCAGTAGCATTACCCAGTCATTAGCTTAATTAAAAATGAGAGGTCTAAATGAATATTTGTGTTGGTCTGGATGAAACTTTACAGTTGGTTTAGATTTCCTTCTGGGATTCATGTTTTGGGATGTGTGTAGTTCGAAGTGTCTGATTGAAATAAGATTTCAGTGGAAATAATAAAAAAGGAACATATTCTAGGAACTGCAATCAAGACACAACCACACAAAGGTCCTCCACCCGCTCATGAAAAGACTGTCCTTTTTCACTATGCAGTTTGGGAAAATGTTGAGAACTCAGATCTGATTCTTAACATAATGCTTGATGTTTAAGGACATTGTTTTTAACACCTATCATTGGAAAGGTCCTTTTCAAGAGCATGAAGGGAGCTGTAATCAAAGATATTACTGATAGTTTGTACCAAAGACACTATAAAACTTGGTCATTGTATATTTTTATCTTTTATATATCATAAGGGATACGACAATGCTTGTTGAGGGGGGAAATGTAAAATGAAAGATGTAAGATTTTACATAAGTGTACTCTTTTTTTGTAGCGGGACTTAGAGTTTTATGAATAAATATTTAAGTTTGATTGAGAAACGTGTTGTGTTTTAACTTTTCTGTTTTTACTTAAATGTGATTTTGTCTGATCAAATTTTAGAAATGTTGAGGTAGAAGTTTTCTGACAATTTTCGCTTTATTTTAATGTGTTTAATGTGTCAACAATTTGATATAATTGCTTGGGTGACAATACCAAACAATAATATAATAAATTGTAGAGAGCAAACTTAATTAATTTAATTTGTATGTCTGTTGAATTGTATTGATTTAACCTCAGTTTTTTCCCTTGTATAATCCTTTATTAGCAAATGCAGTTACGTTACACAGGTTTAACCAAAAAACAAAAACAAATTCTTCCTTCACATTTTTCTACAGAATTCACAAGAACCATTCATATAAAATAAGATACCCTGCTACAGCATTCAGAAAGTTACCCAGTACGTTTTACGCATCACACTGACAAGACGTCATATTAAAGTCTTAAAAAGTTTCGTTCCTGTGGCATCCGACTTATTTTTAGCAATGTTGCAAGATAATCGAGGCAAATGAACACAGCCTCTATGATTTTTGAAGCGTAAATGTGATTCCAGTGGTAATAGTCTACTATAATTCTCCATTACAACAAAGCTGTAAAGGTAATTTTGCTGTGGTGACGTTTTATAGACTCATTTAGCTGCCTTTTTAAAGACGCCCAGAAGCTTCGAAATTCAGGAGTGGTACTGATGTGTTTTATGTCATAGAACGTAACAGTGAAGTCCCTTTAGCTTGTGTTAACCACAGATCTTATTTCAGGCATCTAACCAAGCAACCATTAAAAAAACCCATTGACCTGAAAACAAGGGAACTGGGAGTGCTAAAATGCTAACTTATTTCTGGGTTATTACTGCAACACTTACTAGCAAGAAATGTGCCAAAAGTTGGAAAACCCCGCAACTTTTAAGGTGGAACTCAATGTATGAGCTGACGATGTGAATCCATCAGCTCATCTTAAATTCCGATATGACAACTTTATTGCTTTAGTTTTTATTGTCTCTTGGATGATAGACCCTTTTAGTAATGAGTGAATCTTCAAGGCTTTAAAAATATATATTAATTTGGATCGGACTATGTGAACAGCCTATATTCTAATCAGAGAATCTGTGGGCTCCGGCAACACTAAGCCCCTGCGCTTACCTGAGAAGGACTAAATGCACAAATGCCATATTTTTTAAATATCCCATGGAGAGAGACTCTCACTGCAGCCTGTTCTGTTTTGTTCTAAAAATGTCAGTGTGCAGCCTCGTTCTGTGGACGATAAACCAGGTGCAGAGTGATAAAGGAGGAAATAAAGTGAGTGCTGGACGGAGCAGTGAGTACTGTTTGAGGAAGGTGACCTATGGTCTAGATACCATGTTTGAACTTTTGGATCCAAATGTACTTGCCGGAAGTGTTTGGTGGAAACGGGGCTACAGTGCCTCATCAACAATCACAAGTGTGCAGAATGTTTTCTAGTATTTCTGTTTCATAAATGATCTTTGATTCACCATGAACAGAGCTAACTAGCCCAAGTAAGCTAAACTCACGGTGTCAGAATTAGCTAGCCACCTGTAGCTGCAACAGGCTTCACATTGCAGTTTATGGGACTTTCATCATGAGTCAAGAAAGCTAATAGCCTAAAGTGGACTCCAACTTTTTGATTAAAGGAAACCATATCGAATTGGTTTTTGTGCACCTTGTGGTAACTCAGTTTTCATGATGTTGACATTTCACACATCATGGTTCTATGATCCTGTTCTAGAACAAATACAACATATGAAACAAAAATTTTGCCTAGGGCTAGAACAAAACCCACTGGAACTGGCCAGATACAAAAATGAGACTAAATTCACTGTGCCAGAGTTAGCTAGCTTAAGTTAGCTAAAATCACTGTGTCAGAGTTAGCTAGCCCCCTGTAGTTGCAACAGGTTTCACACGGCAGTTGATGAGACTTTCTTCATGAGTCAAGAAAGATAATAGCCTATAGTGGAGTATAACTTTTTGACTAAAAGTAACCTTTTTCTGCACCTTGTGGTAACTCAATTTTCATGATGTTGACATTTTACACACCATAGAAACAAAGATTTTGCCCAGCACTTTTACAATTACTGATCAAACTGATGGTCAGATACGAAATTAAGACTAAATTCACTGTGAACACAGTTGGCTAGCTTAAGTTAGCGAAATGCACTGTGCGCTGTGAGTTAGCTAGCCACCTTAGCAACACATCACAATTTGAGACTGTCATCATGAGTCAAGACATCTAATGTAGCAGACTATAACTTTTGGACTAAAAGTAACCTGTTTGTTCACCTTGTGGTGCCTCAATTTTCATGATGTCATTTTACACATCATACAGACACAAAGCCCAGCACTAGTACGATAACCAATCAAACTGATGGCCAGTTGAAAATTGTAATAAACTGTCAACCAGTTCAGCCACTATACAGTGTCATTGACCTTCGATGGTCAGCTAGGAGGAGTACATATTTCAATCCTCAAAATATGCTAACTTGTACCCAGAAAAGTGATTACTAAAGAGCAGCTGGTGTTTTCAGAAGCTGAGGTTTTTGCAAAAACAAGGCATAAACAGTACATGTCATCTGACATTACACTTCAAAAACTGTACACCTTGTACATATGAACCCATCACATTTATTAGAATTATTTATTTTACGGTCTGTGGTGGATTTTTTTTTCTTCGAAAACCATCCTGCCAATTTTGAGTGATCACATCATGTACCTTTGTAGTCGTCTTTATCTACAGTGTGACTTCAGTGATCTTTGCAGCACCTTTAGTCTCGTCACCTCCTTTTGTCTTCTCTTCTTCCCCTTTTAATTCCCTTTTTGCTTTCTCCTTCACTGCTCCTGCCTTCTCCTCCTCTTCCTCCTCCCCTTCCTCCTCCTCGTCCAGCTGGAGGCTCCCCGAGGAGAACCTCATCCTGGCAAGTCCAGCAGATCGTACCACTTTCCCCAGCGGGGGTGGTGGGCAGTAATACGGATAGAAGACCTCTGGGTCTGAGTCGCTGTAGCTTCCTGTGGTGCCTCCGATCATGCACAGCGAGGTCGGTCGATCAGGCAGAGGGGAGGAGCTAAGTGGGAGGTAGGTGGGTCGGGAGGGGCGAGTCAGGTGGGGGTAGTAACCAAGGGGACGGAACTCAGAGGCAGGGTTAAAGGCGGGGTTAGAACTCCTTGAGAGGTGAAACTTGACATCTGGTTGGCTGGCCACCCGGCGAGGCAGTCCTGGGAGGAAGTTGGAGTCATCGCTGTAATGCCCCGCCTCTGTGTGTCCAACACCCAAGTGCCTCGCTCCGTTGCTCCCTGTTTGATATACCCGTGCCAATCCCAGCCCACCTGAGCCAGAGGGGCGGAGGTTCCTCCTGATTGGCGAGAGGGAAGGTGAATCATGACCTAACGGATAGAAAGGCGGCCGCGAAAGGCCATCCATCGTCACATAATCCCGTCTCCTTGCATGCGGGAAACGCTCCAGTGAGGAAACGGCAACGTAGTCCGACAAGTAGGGGTGTCGGTTGAGAGGCGAGGGACTGGCTAATGGGAATGTTGGGAGGATGGGGTGATACTGGTAGGCAGGACTGTTTGGGTAGAGAAGAACCAGCTGCTGAGCGGCATCCGGGTGTGGCTGGGGGTTGGGCCGACGACGTGACCGGTTGCCATAGACACCGGCTAGCCTTTGGGCTTGGCGCTGCGCCCCAATCCTTCCCCCCCTCATGTCATCCATCACAGATGTGGAGGCAGATCTGATTTTGGGTGATGGGGTTGACTGGTGTAGAGATGAGGGAGAGACGGGGGTGACTTGGGAGAGAGGGCGAGTCCTCTGGGTGACCTCGACGGATGATTGGCTGCGTTTAGCACCTCCTCCAACTATTTCGATGTCTATGCCTCGGTGATGTGGGTCCAACTCGTCCTGACTGCAGACCGCCATAGCATGACCCGACTGGGTGAACGGACGGGAGTGCTCGTACATCTGCGGAGGTAAGACGCACAAACATTAGTCTTGCCCATACTGTTGCATTTGCTTGCAAAATGACTCTAACAATCAGCGATCATCAAAATAGTTGCCATATCATCTTCCATCGATGGACTTAGCAATTAATTGACTAATTAATGTGCCTCTACTTCTTAGGTACGTGAATTGTATGTGCATAGATGGTAGTTTTTATTACCTGTTTGGAGACGTCCGTGAGGAGATCAGGGGAGGAGCGACACTGTCGGGGATCATAGTCTGACTGACAGTAAGTCCTGGATAAAGAGCAGGAAGAAGAAAAGCTCTGTTTTCCAAATGTTTCTTTGATATTTTTGATATCTTGACCTCCAAACCAAGGTAGTAATCAAAGATTTGAACATTATTGTATCATCTTTTGGCTAAAGAGCGAAAATAGTGACACAACAAATTCAATGACATGAGAAGGGATACATGAGTAGTTGAGAGGGAATGAATTAGAGACACACAACATTAGTTTGGTCATTGGTAAAAGAAAAAAATAGTTTTTATAGCTCCTGTGTTTTTTGTTGGTGGATCAGTGCACTCTTTGCACCCTTAATGGAGGTATTTTCATCAAAGAGGTCAATGGTGATCAAGTAGTCCGATACATTTAACGTATACTTGTGAATTTATTCTCACCTCTCAAAGTGTGAAGGCTTCTTCTCCCCTGATCCCATACACTCCAGCAGCTGCTTCTGCGTACGTCCACTGCCACACAAAAAAATAACACTGTAAAGTAATTCATAATCACCATTCACCATCCTATTTAAGTCCCTGAAAGTCGTAGATTCAAATCATCAGTCAGTGACCCCTGAGATTGCTTCAAGTAGTTATTTTTCTGTTTGTATTTTGCTAGTCAGTGTGCTGTGCAGTGTACTTCCGGGGACGTCTGCCCAGATTTTGATGCGGAGTGAGCACTCATGACTTTCACGATTCTCCTTGACACAGTCAGCTGTGGACAAGATGCAGCGGCACAGAGAGGGAGAGTCTTTGAACCATAAGGTTCCGAGACGGCATTGTCGTCTCTCTTCTGCTTGGAAGTGGTGAATTTACAGCTCACAGCAACTTAATACAGCTCAGTCTCCAGCCTTTGTTTGACATCTAGTGTCTAGGAAAAAAAATGTGATGTGGGCGCTGCGCCGGACTGTCGTGGAGCCTCTTGGATGAGAGGCAAAATGTCTTGCAGAAAGTCAAGCAAGTCCAGTTGCCTACGATATAGCACCTCTGAATAAACTGGGTCCTGATTCTCATATGTCAGTTGTAAGTCAGTGGACATGACATGGACAAACCGTTCACACTTGGAGCCCCATTTCTGTGCTTCAGTTCAGTGTGTTTCAACAACAGACAGACTAGGTATATAACTAAACTTTCTAAACATGCAGACACAAGAATATAACAGAAATAGGAGGGAAAAAAGACAACTGTAGTTTTAAGAAAGATTTAAAATAAATCAGTGTGAGTGCGCCTTTAAATCACAGTGGAGTGTGTTTACCTGTATCTAAAGCTGGAGCCTTTACAGGACAGCAGCGTTTTGTGTATTGTCTTCGGTTCCTCGGCCAGTCTGAAGAAGGCGTGGTACTCCACACACGTCTTCCAGAAGGATTTACACACATCTCGACTGGCCATGGAGAACTCCAGTGTGTCCTTACATGAAGGCTAGATGAAACACTTCCATTAACAGACACATACAGTATGTGCACATGTAAACATGTAAATATTGAACAGAGGCAGTCCAGTGTACCCATTCAAGGAGTTTGAAACAAACACATCAGGTCCTCACCCCAACTTTGTCATGTAGCTTTATGAGGAAATGTTTGCGCTTGAAGCTCAGCTTGCGGATCTTCGCCCAGCTGAACGTGTTGATTTTGGTGTTGCCCTAGAAAGCACAGAAGAAAAAGTGCTTTGATATGTTCTTCAGTGTAAGACCACAGATAAAACATGCTGCTGCATTAACTCCGGCGATAAATGACTCTACAGTAGTCACCCGTATTAATCGACTCCATCTCTGATCAGCTCCAATTGGCAGTGATGGAAACATGACATCCGGGTGGAGATGCTAATTTTCACACCTTTTCTGGAGAGATGCATCAAAGCACCACCACAAAATACCATCCATCTAAGCAGCGCTAAACATTCAACATTAATCTGCACCGAGTTTGAAAGAATATAACCACCATAACATTTTCCCCGGCCTTCATGCTGCTTTCTACTTCCTTTTTAACCCTGTTTTCCGTTGTGCTCTTTACGCCAAATGTGACACACCAGTACAATAAAAGAAAGGAGCCACATTTAGACAAATCACATACCCATGCTAATTTTGGTGGGTAAATGGTATTGGAGACCATCAACAACATACCTGAAAGACCAGTACTCCAGAGTGTGTGACAGCCAGGTTGATCCTCATTCCCTCTCCGTCATGAGCGGGGTGAGGCCTGATGCCGTACATGTCCAGCTTCCTCGCCACCTCCAGCAGGTGGATGTCGGAGTCTCCTGGGGAAACACCTCTAAAGAGGGAGAGAAAGATGGTACCAGTGGTGTGGTGGCAGTCGATGAAGTAGATAGGTTACTGAGGAGGAAGTAGTCCAGTGTCTTTTGGCTGACAGATGGATGTACTGTAAATAGCCAATAAAAAGAGGTGGGTATATCCGGTAGACCTGGGTATACCCTCCACTGCCCCACTGGATGGTATGTGTCCACAAGTGCATTTTTGGATATGAGAGGTTGTGCTGCTTCCCGGCATTGGATGCTTGATGGGCATGCAACTGGGCACATGGGTCGTCTACACTTACATTACAAAAATAGTTCACTGATATGTGTTTCTGATGACATTTGAGGTGAGAGAGAAGGTATCCAGTTTCTGAATCTGTTGTCATTTTAGATTGACAATGTTAGATTGGAGGTTTTTAATTAATAAGTCAAATTTGTTCGTCATAACGGGTAAAAATATAACACCTTATCATGTCAAATCCACATTAAGACGAAAGATGTTTAATGTTGGGTGGAACCATTTCACCAGTTTCAGAGGGGAAGCTGATGTAACAGTATTCGTTATACATTGTATTCGCATCAGTGTCCACTAGATGGCAGTATTTAATCAGAGTACATTGGACATAGTGTTTAGTCATCTATTCTGAGTGTGTTACTGATTTGCCTTCATTCTTTCTCATCATGTAAAACCAGCATTGCCAGGTGTATGATAATTATCATATTTGTACGATAATTTGGCACTCTGTACGATGTACAACCAATAATCCCCAAAAAGGCCAAATGTACGATAATTTGACCATTTCATGAATGTGTGGTTGTAATCAGTATGCCGGAGTTTTTTTTGTGAGCCCTGAAGGCATCTGTTCTCATGTGACATGTTTCCAGCCAATCGCATTTTGCTTAGCGTGAGATACGGGTAGCCTCGCATAACTCCATTCACTTTGAATTTTGTCTGGATTCTGGTTCTGGTCTAGAGAGCGGATCCGGAATTCACCAAATTCACCAAAGTAAAAGTGTTCACCAAAGTAAAACTTTAAATTCTGGCGCACCATCGATTTACAATAAAAGAAAAAGGTTAACTTAATGGCTTGGGGCTTTTCTTGTAAATTATATTCTTTAAATTAAAAAGTTTCACCGCATTTTTATTAGCTTGGTGCTTTTATTTTGACGGAAAGGCACATCCATCGAATTCCGGATCCTGTCTCTCTCGCCCTGTTTCCAGTTCCTTATCAAAACGGCCACTAAACGGCCCCAGACTAGCTATGGGTGACGTTTGTCTCTGAACAATGAGCGCGATTGGCTGAATGGTCAGCTGTACCAGCCCCACGAGGCGCTAGGACCTGTCAGGAAGTCGAGCGAGAATGAGATTCAAAACAGAAGAAGAAGAAGAGGAAAAACAGAAGCAAAGAAAATGGGGAAAAAAGTAAACCAAAAAAGTAAACACTAGAGTGACTATATTTGCCTTATTTTTGTTATTATAGATGTACGATAATTTCCCTCAAAATTCGATAATTTTGAGTCTCTGGTATGATAATCCTACATTTCCCACCTGGCAGCGCTGTGTAAAACAAATGCCTTGAGTTATTTGTTTTGATACCGCTTTAGATTACTGATATTACCGAGGTCTGCTGCTGAAATCTGCGTCATGTTTCACTCAGTAAGTCTCCGATTTAATAAGTCAGCAGTGATAAAAATGTGTAAACTGTCATTAAGGCAGACGAGTGGAGCATTAGCTGGTAAACTTCACATTTATTCACTTTACATGGAGCTAACTTTTATACAGAATTATGTCAATTTTTAACCTCATGTGTTACTGTCTTTTCATGAGTTGTAAGAAATCATAAATAATTTTTTAGGATTAGATGTTTATCGTAAGCTAGCTCGGGCTCTGTTAAATTTAGCAATATGTTAACGGAGCAACCTATAATACACGCAAGGTATCGTGGGGGCTAGGAATAACGTGGATACAAAGCAAAGTTTTCCTGAGTAAAACGCCACGTTCGTGTTTAAGATTAAGATTTTTTTATATCATTTATATTGGATGAAAGCACACATGGGATCTAGTGAAAACACCCTTAATACGAACGTTGAAATAGACGTACAGAGGCATATGGCTTTCGATATGTTTACTACCTTTTGGCGGCGATATTTGGGTGAAAATAACACATCCACAGTAAAAACTTCCACACATATTCAGTTCAGTTTTTGTGTGTACCTGTGCCTCTTGTGAAACTTGATGATCTTGTGGTCTAGATATTCCTGGTTGGGGACGTACTGCTTCATCTCTAAATGGTGACCATCCAGCTCCTCGTCATAGTCCCCTAGCTCTGCTGCAACACACACGCATATGTAAAAACATGCCAAGTAAAACAATATATACATGTTAATAAACCAACTCTGTACAGTTCCAGAAGTCTTAGATATGATAGGATACGAATGGGGGTTTTAAAGGTTACAGTTTTCTTCTTTATGCTCAGCTAATGATTCGCATAAAACAGTTTCTCAAGTACTACACAATAGATGAATTGAATTATGCCTATAAGTGTATTTTAGAAATCTCTATGAACAGATATTTGCAGTGGGACAAGATTTTGGTATCGGAAGTGTTCTAGTTTCCGTTTGTGGTCTTAGGAGTATTGATTAATCACAATTCACAAAAGAGGCAGAAATGCAGTCTCAGAAGCCATCGGCTATTGTCTGATAATGATGATTTAGCTAATGGAAGAGTAAGTCTTGGCCCGGATATCAGGCCCACAGGAAGTGTGCTGGGCATTGAAGCCAATTTGAGTTGCACCATCACAAGATGCTTTGAGGCCCAAAATACTTTTTCCTATTGACTTATATGTCAGAAGAGACATCTGTAAATCAGTGGATTCATTGTTTTTGGGCATCAGCCCCGCAAAATGACTCATTTCACGATCAGGATTTCATCCATTCAGTCTGATAACATTTCTAAAGTCTAGAAGAGATGCATGATTGAATCATTAATCAATCAATCACCACTCGAGTTAGCGGTGCGCTAAGCCGCAAGTAGCCATCTCGGCCAGAAGTCTTTAGTGTATCTTCTCTTTGGGATACACAGTGAGAAAGAAACACATTCTCACTCCGACCTCATCACATGTCGACGTTTGGTCATGGACTTTCCACATTGAAATACGACGTGCAAGGTATCCTGAGTTCATTGGTTGTTGACGTTGTTGGATGCCATGTAAAGTTCTGCCTGTTATGTGCATTGTCTTCTTTCAAAATACACTGAAGTTTTCACAGGAAATGTAACGTTTACATACAGTTTCTTTCAAAATAAACATGCTACGCTGGTACAGCACTGTGAATTGACGTTTTTTACATTCAACTACAAACATACATGGTTACAAACAGGTGGTGCTTCTCAAAGTCAAGAATGGATCCTTAAACGGCTGAAGTTCAAGAAGGCTGTGTCATCAAACCCCACCGCAGGACTGTTCCAATGTCAAGGATCCTTTGAATTCTACCTTCAGGGTCTCTTCAGTAACGCACACCTGGGTACTTGCTAGTCTGTTCCAATGTGTGTTCTCCCAGTCCTACCAAGGACGCATCCTTGACTTTGAGAAACACCAAGGGTTTGGCATTACAGTCTTATGGGAATTGAATACCGCTTTCCCGGGTCAAAGTCAGTGGTTGTTGCACTCATCTGTGACCCCTCCCACCTGCCCTGCTCAGACTTCCACCTGTCTTAACTTTCATTGTTGTTCTGCCACCTTTCCCCCCTGACATAGCGACCGGCTGCGTATCAGGCCGACATAAAAGGACGGCTTTTTCATCGGTGTCTGACATCGCAAGTCACTGACCAAGCACCAGATTTTGGCTACTTCAGAGTGAGACCAGGTTGGCAAAAGCAATGCCAATCATCCGGGTCATTTTATACATGGTAGCTGAACTATTTTTTGGCTTCATGCACCATTGAGCAACTTTCATAGGAATGAACGAGACCCCGCCTCCAAAGCTGTATCCAGTTCTCTTTACACATCTTTGCCGGATATCTGCTTGCTAATACTGGTCCTTGCCTGAAGAGGCTTATTATTATTATCAGCCTGCTGAATAGTGGATTCAAGGATTCATAACGTAGGTTTGAAGTGTGCAGTATTTTAATGCTTACACTGCAGTATGTGAGAGACCAGCAGGGCGGCGCTGTTGTCGTTACATGTCAGACTGCCGTTAGACAAGTCCTGCTTTATCTGTAAGGCAAACAGATACCTACACACACACACACACACACACACACACACACACACGAACACATGAACACACAAAAGAAGATAATCTACAATCACTGAAGGAAACATAAACATCTGCTTTTCATATGTCGGAAGGTAAAATGTTAGAAAAGGGAAAATAAATATCTAGTCACCAGTTTAAGTTCAGCAACTCAGTTTTCATTCATTTTTTAGTAGATTCACCCTCACACACACACACACACACACACACACACACATACACACACACACACACATACATAAGGCTAAGTAACAAACACTGTTACCTGGTGAGGCCTCTCTTTAGTTGTCCAGGATCTGGTGGAAAGAACTTCACTATAAACCTGAAGAACAGATCGTTGGTGTCTGACAGAGAGAGATGAAAAGGGAAGTGTCACAGGTAAAAAAATAAATAAATAAATAAATAATAATAATTAAACTGTAAGCAAAAAAGGACATAAACTCATGTTAAAGATTCCTGATGTTAAAAGGCGAATGGAGCCAAAACGTGACATTTAATTTGACATTAAAATGGCAAGTTCTCATCTTAACTCTAGAACAGTGGTTCCTAACTGGTCCAAATTTCTCCTTAGTCATTAGTCATCTTAGCCTGACCGCAGCATGCCAGACCGTTTCTTATTGTAAAGTGAAGCTGACTTTCTTACATTTAATCTGTTTGGCGAGCGGCTTCAGCAGCTCCAACCACACCTGCAACCAAACACATTATAAGGCAAAGAAATACAAAGTATTCTTCATGTATGTGTGGTCATATATGTCATATATTTCCTTACGTAGTTGCCACCGTGGTGTCTGAACTCCAGCCCAAAGTACTCCTTCTCCAGCAGCTTCAGATGACCACACACTTTGTTGAAGAAGTCGCTGCCTAAAACCTTTTGCTGAGAGACAATTAAAGATGGAGGAAGAGAGTGAGAGGGATTATTGGATTTTTTAAAATTGAGACGCTCTTAAAGCCGGAGTCCAGGGACACTCTGGGGCCCGAGACGATGTGGTGCAGCAGCTCAATTTCTCTGCTACTTAGATCACTTTGTGTAATGAGAGTTTGTGTAATGCTGTGTTCTCTGTCGTAGGTCATATGAGCGGAGAGTGAGTCCTGTGGTGGAGAGCTGCCATTGAATCCTGCACACATAGATGAGAAAAGTAAATGCCTTAACCACTGTTTGAAACCAACCAATTCCAGCGGCAATTCCAGCACCAAAACTCTTTTTTTTTTAGCTAGACGTTGGCAGCATTTCCAGCCATGAATGGGCCATCACAACTTGGTGTTTTTTAGCGAAATATTGGCGGCCATGATAGTGCTACCAAAACTGTTTTTTGTTTTTAGCTAAATATGGGCAGCATTCAAGCCAAGATTATACGACCAAAACTGGGTGCTTTTTAGTGACATGTTGGCAGCATTTACAGTCGTGACTGTGCAACAGAAAATGGTTATTTTTTAGCTAAGTATGGTCCGTATTTCCAGCCACGATTGTACCACCAAACTCTTTTTTTAGCTAGATCTTGGCAGCATTTCTAGCCATGACTGTGCCATCACAACTTGGTGTTTTTTAGCGAAATATTGGCGGCCATAATTGTGCCACCAAAACTAGTTGTTTGGGGTTTTTTTAGCTTAGATTATACAAGCAAAATTGGGTGTTTTTTAGTAACACGTTGGCAGCATTTACAGTTGTGATTGCAAAAAAAAAGTGGTTATTTTTTAGTGAGACATTATCCCAGCAAGCATTTTTTGGTTTAAAAAACGTCTAATAGCTGTCTACATGAAGACCTGATGTCTAGGCTAAATCACGGCTGAATTTGGGCTGTCAGTGAAAATTTGGTAGATGTCTAACCATAGCCAAAGTGTAGACGTCATCAATTATACGGCTACATAGAGACCATGTCCAAAAAATGGAGATAAACATATTTTAATTACTATTGTCTCTACATACGTGATTGAATATCATACCGCATGCCATCTGCAATGGTGAAAATTACATTTAATCAGTTTCAAAATTAAATCGGCTAGATTTGGGTTACATGTAGCTAGACTAAATCGGAGCTAAATATAGCCAATACGTTTAAATCACAAGTATTGCTTGCTGGGTAGCTATGTTTCCATCCAAAAGTGATTTGAATCATTGGGAAATGCACATTAAAAGAAATATGAATCCTGTGTGTTTCCATTAAATGTACGGACTTTGGTGAAAACTACAAACTCGCGCAAGTTTTCCGCAGAACCGGAAACAAAACAAATCTCGCATTCTTCTTCTACGTTTTCTGGCGGTTGGCAACCAGCTTGTAAATGCATTACGGCCTTCCCGACCTGGAGTGTGGATATCACCATGGAGAGAGGTGCACTGCGTCAGACTTAATTCGAACATAACTGTTTCCATCCCCCGTTTTGCGAATCAACATTTTTTCAAATCAACCAAAACCTGGCTAAAGCGAGCGTATTTTAGTTTGTGCGAATCACGGGATTTGAATTTGAATTTTGGCGTTTCCATCATAATCTTCTGATACGATACTTCAAGATGCACATCTAAACAGGCTGATGGAAACATGGCTACTGACTGCATTTCCAGCTGTGATTGTGCTGTGAAAACTGGGGTGTTTTAGCGAGACATCAGCAGCATTTCCAGCACAATTCTGCCACTAAAACTGTTAGTGAAAACTGTTTTTTAGCAAAATATTGGCAGCATTTATATAAGCAAAACAGTTTTATATGGCAAGATGTCAGCAGCACTTCTAGCCATGAAGGTGCCACTACAGCTGGTTGTGTTTTTAGCTTTTTAGTTGTTGTATTTCGTGACACATTGGCAGCATTTACAGCCATGATTGTGCAACAAAAAGTGGTTATTTTTGCGTGAGACATTGACTGCATTTCCAGCTACAATTGTGCCACCTAAACTGGGTGATTTTGGGAGTCACCAGCAGCATTTCCAGCTGTGACTGTACCATCAACACTGGTTGTTTTTCGTGAGAGAGAGGTGGCATTTCCATGCGCAGTTGTGCCTCCAAAACTGGTTGTTTTTTAGGGAGACATCAGCGACATTTCCAGCTACAATTGTACCATCAAAAATGTTGTTTTTTTAGCAAAATACTGGCAGCATTTCCAGCCGTGATTGTGCCGTCAAAACTGGTTGTTTTTTTAGCTAAATATGGATGGCATTCAATCCAAGATTGTACCACCAAAACTGGGTGTTCATGACACAGTGGCAGCATTTACAGCCGCAATTGTGCAACAAAAAGTGGTTATTTTTTCATGAGACATTGACTGCATTTCCAGCTGTGATTGTGCTATGAAAACTGGGGTGTTTTAGCGAGACATCAGCAACATTTCCAGCACAATTCTGCCACCAAAACTGTGTTTTTTAGCAAAGTATTGGCAGTATTTCTGGTGTGATTGTACCATCACAGCTGGATGTTTTTTAACAAAATGTTGTCGGCATTTCCACAACATAATTATGTGCAAATGTTACAAATTCGTGATTTGCAATGCCAACATTTTTTCTGTCAATTGGGTCGGTTGTTGTTTCCTTAACCGAAGAATTGGCCCTCTTTACGTGACTCAGTTGTGATCATATTTTTTGGCCAAAGTACGATGAGACAAATGATCAGAGACATACATACAGTAAAGGTTACCTGTTTAGTGATGGTGATTAAGTTATTTTATTGCCAGTCTTTATTTTTGTTTCCTTTGATCAGTTTACATGATGTCAGTCTGTACATGTACCTTGTTCATTGGCATGCCAGCCATTTGCTATGAAGACCCAGTAAAATCGAAACTTTGCTTCAATCCAATAAAATGTAGGAGGGACATACACACAATAATCCCTCTGCATCCTTTACTTCTCATCCTTTCCCTCTTGCCTCCTCTCTCCTCTCTCCTCTCTTCCTTCCTTTAATCTCTCTCCATCTCTTCCTCCTCCCATTCCTCTCTCTGTGCCTCTACATGTCATCTGTCTAATTACTGAGATAGCGTTTGTGCATCGCAACCCAAGGTTCTTTTTTAGTGTTTGCTGTCTGCTAGCTGGCGTTTAGCGCCCCGGCGGGGGTCACTGGACGCCCCTCATTAACTTGTCATGAGAGAGAGAGGGAGGAAGAGGAGGGACAGAGCAGCTGTAACCGATTATAAAGAGAACACAAGCCTAACCGATGATTACTGGAAACAAATGGCCGCCCCCAGAACAACAGAGCAGTTAGTTTCAATAGAGCGGAATAGAGTTAAACTGAACTTTACTGTTCAATCTGCTGGCTGGAAATTCATCTGTGGGACATGTGACGGAAAAGAATGAAGTACAGCAGACCTGAGATCTTTTCCTAAATTATGTCTGTTCATGGCCAAGATATGTAACTCTGTTTAGCTTCCAGCATCTTGTAGGTTTGAGAGAAGAGCAACATCCATGCCATCACAGAGTAAAACTGTTCATCCATTCTTCTGTCTACTCTCTGTCTCTTCTTGCAACAGATGCCAGAAAAACTGTTCACATTGTACGTTTCTGCAAACCACGTTAGTACGTTTCATATGTATCACATCGACGCTCCCAAAGTGGCATAAATATGAGCTGACTTTGTCATCGGGAGGTGGAGGGGAGGCTGGATGGCGTGACACCTTGTTGATACATTTGCCAAGCTGCAGACCGCTGTTGGAGAAGCAAATCACTGCTGTTTTCTCAGCAGCTTTTCAGGCAGCAAATGTGAGTGTTTGGTTGCGACTCGTCTCTGTTTTTCCAGCCGACCTTCGGGCACAAAAAGTAGTTGTTCTTTACTGAGTCATCGCTGCTTCTCTGTCACGACAGTGCCATGACAAAACTGCTGTTTTTACTGACACATCATTGCTGTTTCTGGCGAGAATGCGCCTCGCCAAACCGTGCCTTTTAAGCTGAAACAACAGCAAGTGTTTTTTATGTCTTGACCTTTTTGGCGACACTGAACTTAGGTGTTTTTCACAGACTCATTGTGCTATTTTCCAGCACTGTTTGCAGCACCAAACCTGGGTGTTTTTCATGTTTCCCAGCAGCGTTTTTAGCACAGAGACGGGGTGTTTTTCACCAACATATCATGGTGTTTCCCAGCAACATTTGAGACCAACAAACCACAACACTGTTTGTTGACGACCCTTTGCGGCATTTCTACCACTGTTTGTGGAACTGACATGGCTGTTTTGTACCGGCATTTCCGAGCTGCAGACCACTGTTAGCGACCAACAAACAAACAAAACACTGCTTGCTTTTGACGACCCTTTGCAGCATTTCCACTGATGTTTGTGGCACCAAAGCAGGGTGTTTTTCACGGAAACTGGCACGTCATGGCATTACCCAGCGGCATTTGAGCCACTGAGACTAGATGTTTTTTTTAACCGAACCTGTTTCTCACCAACACATTGTTTCCTAGCAGCATTTGGGTGAGGCAGTTGCCAAACTGCAGACAAATGTTCAAGACCAGAAAACAACAAGACTGGTATGTTGTTGAACCTGGGTGTTCTTCACCCAACCCATCCAGCAGCATTTGTGCCACTGAAACATGATCTTTTTCTAACCATAACCAAGTGGTTTCGTTGCCTTGACCTAACCACACCTTTGCCACACGAAAGCTTTCAATGCATCTGCCACAAAATAATTTACAACTGTAATTTACGCGTGGTTTGCAGAAACGTACAATGCCAACATTTTTTCTGGCGGCTGGGTTTCTATCCTCCTTCCCTGTTGTCATTCATGCATCCATCCATCTTTTCTCTTCTTCCACGTCTCGTCTGATCATTAATTGGGGTTTTGCCCTGAAGGTTAAAGGATCGGACACACACACACACACACACACACACACACACACAGAGTAGCATCCTGAAATCTTTTCTTATGATCTGAGTGTGGGATGGGGGTTATTACCTCCTGTGTTGACCACTATATTTATCACAGGGTACAGTTTATTTTTGCCCTCATCCATCCATCCATCCATCCATCTTTTATTGTTTCCTCCCTTCTCCCTTCATCCCTCCTCCTCTTGTAAAGATATTACTAATGTCCCGGAGGCCTCTGGGAAAGCGACAGAGAAAGCATGGGCGTGGAAAATGGGAGCTACTTTGCTAACACAATACTGCAAGCCACACGCACACACACACACACACACACACACACACACAGTAAAAGTCTCTTTTTAGATTGCGTTACTGCCTCGCAGGCGTTGTCGGCGTCACCATGTTGGAAATCGCGAGCCGTCACTCTGCTTTTCTGCAGCTGGATCGCGGAGCACATGACAGTTCATAGACAGCAGAGTGTTTATGTTTCACATCCAGCTGTTTACACGTCACACAGCTGTTTGACAGCCGGCAAACATCTGCAACCATTTGATTTATTCAATCAGAAGATATTTTCATTAAAACTTCATCAAAGTTAAATTTTCTTTATGAACTTCCTGTGCAGTTCTGTCCCAGATAATCTGCTGCAATCTGGTACAGGAGGACTTATAATTATAACACTTATAACAATATATATATATATATATATACAGTACAGGCCAAAAGTTTGGACACACCTTCTCATTCAATGCGTTTTCTTTATTTTCATGACTATTTACATTGTAGATTCTCACTGAAGGCATCAAAACTATGAATGAACACATGTGGAGTTATGTACTTAACAAAAAAAGGTGAAATAACTGAAAACATGTTTTATATTCTAGTTTCTTCAAAATAGCCACCCTTTGCTCTGATTACTGCTTTGCACACTCTTGGCATTCTCTCCATGAGCTTCAAGAGGTAGTCACCTGAAATGGTTT